CAGAGCGGACGCCAGTTACTTTCCCCTGACTTTGCTGGAAGATATTAGGTTTCCTATCCCTGAAATGGGGCACTGATAGTACTGGAAAAGCGACAAGGAGTCCTGTGGCACTTTACACACTTATGCTCCAATAAATCTGTTAGTCTATAAGGTGCCACAAGACTACTTGTCGCTTTTGCAGATTCAGACTAACTCAACACCCCTCTGGACGCCAGTTACTTTCCCCTGACTTTGCTGGAAGATATTAGGTTTCCTATCCCTGAAATGGGGCACTGATAGTACTGGAAAAGCGACAAGGAGTCCTGTGGCACTTTACACACTTATGCTCCAATAAATCTGTTAGTCTATAAGGTGCCACAAGACTACTTGTCGCTTTTGCAGATTCAGACTAACTCAACACCCCTCTGATACTTGATAGTACTGGAAGAGTTAATGCTAAATCTGGCTGGAGGATGACAATTTCCTTTCACAACAACTTCCAAGGTTTCAGAATTTATTTTCATTTTTCACTGGAACAATCCCCAAGGCTTTAGAATGTTTTTGTGAAACAGAATGGTGAAAACATCCATTTTGGGATTGAAAACATCGGATTTTTCAATCTCTCTCTCTCTCTGGTTAGAAGTGACCAAAGAACCTTGGACCTTAGAAACCTTCTAATCGAAATTGATGTGGCTCCATAAAACATTCTGGCTTCAGCAAAACAGCATATGTCAACAAAAATATATTTAAGCTAAAATATTCCAGTCAGCTCTAGTTAGCATCTAGTGTCAGGATAACTTTGTACCCTGGCACAGTTTTCAAGGTATTAAAATTTATTTGCCCTTATCGAGTGTTTAGATTACATGGCGAAAGAGTCTGCTTTTGTATAGGTTTATCAAGATCCAGTGAAGGGAATTTATTTGATGTGGATTCATTCTGTACCTGGGGGGAGGAAGAACATACACAGGAGAATCTAGCGGAGATGGTATATGTCCCTAGACTGATTCACCTGTTCACCTTTCCACTCTCATGGTGTTCTTGAGTTTCTTCAAGCTGAGCCTGATCTCTCATAAGTCAGTTTGGATCAGTGTAATTCCAACAGCAATAATGGCACTATGACTGATTTCCTCAGTATGAACAAAAATAAAATCAGGCTCCATTTTGGGGCAATAGGCCTTAGCTCCATATATAATTTATTTGTTTCTCTAGGATTCCCTGGATATCCTGCTGTGGCCAAAGATGGCCAGCCAGGCACAGCAGGTCCCCCTGGATACAGTGGTCCTCCAGGGCCACCCTTCAGGTGTCCCTGGATTATGTGAAGCAACAGACTGTGGTGTCTATGTTCCTAACCAGCTATCAGAACAGGGATTAGTAAAGGGGCCATTTGTTTAACTATTTAATAATGATGCCAGGATGTTGAAAATATTCTGATTCCACCCATTTCCCATTGGAATAAAACCACCACCTGATTCTTCATTGACCTAGTAATGTCATATTTGGTTAATGGGACAGATATTAGGCACTGAATACAAAACGTTGCTATTTCCAAGTAATATTTATGCAAACATGTGCACCTGGTTTAGTGTGGAAGTACAATTTCACCCTCAAATCATTGGTTCATAAACCTTAAACAGCAGATACGTAAACTGTATGGAACTGGAGATGATCCTAACTAAAGACACAATTCTGCTTTCACTGAGGGCAATGGCAAAACTTCCATTGGTTTCAGTGGTGAAATTGAGTCTGAAGGGGCCGATCCAAAGCCCATTGAAGTCTATAAAAAGTCTCCCACTTGGAGACATTGGATCTCTCCTCCTTCAAGCAATAACTTGTTCTGCAAGTCCCACTGAAAAGTGTTTGATTGCCCCAGGAGAGACACAAGGCTGCTTGAGTTTCATTTAAAAATTTTTGGGGTTTCTTATAAGCCAATGAATGCTCAGTCTTGCAGCTCAACAAGAAAGCACAAATTCTGCTGTCAGTTCAAATGGTCTAAACTCAGAGTAAGTTCAACCAAGTAAATTCTTTCTCTTGGTTTACTCTATACAGATGAGCAGGAATCATCCCTAAGATGGAAAAAGTCTGATTGTTAGGATGCATTATTTTAAACTGCTACAGCGATTATCACAGTCTATTAATTCAGCCTATTTTATATTGAGTTGTATCCTTCCTAGTTTATAGTATACCTGTACCTCACTGTAATTCACAAAGTGGCTTACTAATCAGACCTTAGCATGTTCATATTATTCAAACAGCTGACGACAAAAGTCATTGTTTGAATGTGTCTGTGTTGTGGAAACAACATCATGCTCTATATACATGGAGCCAAATGGGGGAATACTTTCTCCTTTCACAGCCTTTGGTAAACATCTTGCCTGATTAAGACTGGTAGGAGCAGTTTGAGTATAGAAAGGTCTCATCAGTAATTTCCAATTCCTTTATTATCAGATCCTGGCTCTGTATGGAATTGGAGATGATCCTAACTAAAGACACAATTCTGCTTTCACTGAGGGGAATGGCAAAACTTCCATTGGTTTCAGTGGTGAAATTGAGTCCGAAGGGCCCGATCCAAAGCCCATTAAAGTCTATAGAAAGTCTCCCACTTGATTTCAAGAGCTGGCCAACCACTCTTCAGGGTTTTATAGGTTTTTTTCATTGGAAAAGGCTGTGGCACCTCCTGTAACACTTTGTGTATTTTCTTTATCAGCTGCTGCTCTTAATGGTTCAGAAGCTGCTTAGGTGGCTCCCAGCCTGTGTGCTATCCCTGTGCTATGTTCTATAAATTGTCTGTACGCTAGGCAACTTGCAAACCTTCCAGCTTGCGCAGAACTTGCATAAATAGCAACACTTGTCACAACTGAGGGGCAGAGGAGGGTGTTAACTGCGAGGCAGGATTTGCTGCTTGAAGTTGTACATTTTCTGCACAACTTCAGAGTCTCCTCTTTTCTAAGCTGAAAAGTTCAAGTTAAGTATTACAATTATAAGCACAACAAAAATGAATGCATTGAGAACATAAGATGTAGTTGCTTCATCTAAAAAAAGATATATTGGCATTGGAAAAGGTTCAGAGAAGGACAACAAAAATGATTAGAGGTTTGGAATGGGTCCTATATAAAAAGAAAGATTAAAAAGACTTGGACTTCTCAGCTAAGAAAAGAGGAGAAATGGGGAGGTTATAAAGGGGGATATGATAGGTCTATAAAATCATGACTGGTGTGGAAAAAGTAAATAAGGAAAAGTTATTTTCTTGTTCCCATAATATAAGAACTAGGGGTCACTAAAGGAAAGAATAGGTAGCAGGTTTAAAACAAAAGGAAGTTTTTCTTCATACAGCGCAGTCAACCTGTGGAACTCCTTGTCAGAGGCTGTTGTGAAGACTAGGACTTTAACAGGGTTCAAAAAAAGAGCTAGATAAATTCATGGAGGTTAGGTCCATCAATTGCTATTGGCCAGGATGGGTAGGACTGATGTCCCTAGCTTCTGTCTGTAAATGGCTGACAGGAAAGGGATCACATGAGGATTACCTGTTGTGTTCCCTCCCTCTGGGGCATCTGGCATTGGTGAGCTATTGCTTAGAGCATTTAGTTTCTGCATGTTTTCTTGCTGCCACCAGTAACATTAATCTCTTCATCAGACAAAAACAATGAAGGAATAGACTGATTCAGGCTACATATCATCAGAGGGGACTGAGAACCCCACTAACTACACTTGTGCAACCTCCATATTGGATCTGCAGGAGAAAGTGGGCCTGTTATTTTACTCCCTCCCCAGAGCGGAGAATGGGAAGCAGCAGAGAATGGAGAAAACTTTGGCCCTATTCTACTTTACACACTGCCCAAAGTAGCTGAGCCATAGCAGGAAGCAGTAACCTCCTGCTCGTGTAGGCCATTCCTAATCTGGTACCCATCTTAAAGAGCAAGCAGGGGAGGGACTGTTACTGACAGGTACCATAGTGCTTTCTACAGATACTCCTGGGTTGATGCAGGCCTGGCTCAGGGATGTGCCTCAAGTCACAACCTAGTCCTGAAGGCTCGTTTGGATTGCCACTGGTAACAGTTGGGCAGTAGTCCAAGTCTGTTTGATTTTTTTTTTCCTATAAAATTCCTTTCACATTCTTCTTTCCAGGAGGGAATCAAATATACATATGCAGATTTGTTGTTTTTTTTTTTTCAAATTAAAAGTCTTGCATTGCTTAAAATAATGGATTCTTCCCTCCCCTTCCTAAAATAAATTCCATCAAGACAACTTACTCTCAGATCTAGAGAGCCTAGGGAAAAGTTATTAAAACTATAAGCACAACAAAAATGAAATGTATTGAGGACCTACATATTTATCCATGCTAAAATGTTACTTTATAAAGTGTTTAATACTTAAAGCTCTTAACTGGCAATATGGTTGAGTAGAAGTATAGGATACAGGGACTCCCCGCCCCCCAGTCCAAAAAGATTGGAATCCACTAAAAACTAGAGAAATGGCTCAGTCCCAACTTAGTAAATGTTACAGAGTTGCATCTCCCTAGTGGGTGGCAAACATCAGCAGAAACTATTTAGTAACAGAGCATCCATTCAATCTAGGGCACAGCTGATGAGCTTCATGGAAAGTGTCCAAATTACAAAGCTCTGGGTGTTCAAGGGATCATGCTCTGTAGAATTCACACGCTCAGCTACTGAAACATCTCACTGGTGATGCCTGGGATCAGGGTGAAGCTAATCGATTTATCTTCCTAGTTCTCGAGTTGAACAAAGCATAATAATTTAAATGGTGAGTGCCTAGAGTTTTTTGTTTCCAGATAACACATGAGCTCTTGAAAAGGTTACAGGCTTATCTCCAAACGGGGTCAAAGGTGTGAATGTCCATTGTTTTCCTGACTCCTTAGGATGTTATGTAAACAAACCAACAGCAGGCTACAAAGGGCATTTAGCAGGTATGCCTCTTAGGTTTTAGTTTTTATTTTCCTGTTATCTTTATCGGACCCCAGTAGCAATCACTAAGACAAATGGAGGCCCAACATAACATGCAGCTGCAGGTGGGTACATACTGAACACACCACAGCGAAGCATATTGAGCTACCAGAAGGAACTATTTTGGTGACCAGGTTTTTGAAACTTCATCCTGGCTTCTGTTAACATGCTACAGCAGGTGGTGTACAATACAGTAATCATGCTGTTCAGAGTGACATGTCTAAGGAGAGATCTAGGTTAGACTGTGAATAAGAGGAGCAATGGAACATCCCGTACTAACACAGACATTACATTTCTTGCTGTACTCTCTTCTGCAGACCACTCGGTGCAGTGGACCAGAGGGAACTTTGAGCCATGTTTCTGCTCCTTGATTCTGGACCCACTTTACAGTAGGAGGATGAGACCAGTGCAAGTCAAAGCAGTCTAAAGGAGACCATAACTTGTGTTGCATGCCAAGAGCCCCAGTGGAACTGTAACAGCAACCACAGAGTGTCAGGGAACAAAAACGTCCCCGCCAAATGCCATTTCACAGGTTAGGCCCTCTGCATTAACCACATATATGTAGGCATTACAGGAGCTACTAAAGTTGCTGTACAAAGATCCCTTCATGCTGGGCCATCATCCTGTGTTTGGCTAAACCTGTCTTTGTGCTGGCTGATGGCTACCCTCCTGCAGAGAAAAATCTGCTCCCGGGTGTTCTGCTTGTGTTGCAAATAACACGCTTGGAACACTGGTGAGAAAAAAAAAATCCTCTGTGCTTAACTGAAATCAGATATGAAAAGTGGCCTTCTGCTTTTGGGGCCATTGTTCATGTCTTTATTTTCTTTTGGAAAATGCAGAATTAGATGTCTATGCTCATGAAGATATGGGACTGACAAAAGTTTCTGGGTCTCAAGAGTTAACATCATGAATTTTTATAGTAATTAAGGCACAGCAAACAATTGTTCTCTTTTGGCAAATAAAAGCACTCTACTTTTCTTCCTTCCATTCATGTCTGAATTTTAAAATAAACCACAAACTACTGTAAAAGTTTAAAAGTTTATTGCCAGAATGCAGCAGTCAGCCTTTTTTTTTTTTTTTTTTTGGTGTTACATGTTTATTTTCCATGCAAAATGAGTAGAAAATATAGGAAATATATAGTGAAAGAAAGTACATGCTAATAATAATCCCCCCCCAATAATGAAATTATAAATGAACAGTCAACCAAGTACATTATCTGGGGAAGAGGCTACAGCTTGTCATATTATTGACCAGAAATCAAACTTATGAGGAAATGCATTTTCCTTCTCTTTAAAAAACAAAACTAAAATAAAATGGCTAGCCTGAGGGAGGGGAGAATTAAAACAGTTACAAATATTTTCAAATCTTGGTTATCAGCTTACAAATTTTGAGGGTATGGAAATGGGAGAAGCAAACAATAGCCCATGCAAAATATACAAGAGATTAATCAAAAATCCAAACATTAAAAAATGAAATTCATCACTTGGTTGCGTTTTGCTGTACT